GTAAAATGCTGCAAATATTTTTTTCTTGCGCTTGAAACACGATTTACACCTTTACAAAGCTTCTCTTGCGCATGCAAATTTAATTTACGCTTACGGTCTTATGTACGCTTCCACAACTCTTACCCTGCACATGCAAATCTTTTTGACGTCATTCTACCTTCATAGAAAACAGCGCATGAGTGCCAAATTGAATTCTCTTTAGTCTCTTCATGTGTTTAAATGGTTTACAATGCTGGAATGCTTAAATTGGCAAGACTTAGAAACAAGTGCAAATGATCACCTACGATACGTTTCAGCACTGCAAGTGAGTGAACAACATGAATCAAAGAAAATATTTTATATCTTTATTCAAGATAGCCCGTCGGGCAAGGCGGTGATATTTTGGTTGCCCGACTGGAAGACACAATAGCCCCGGGACGTCAGGGCTAGCGATTTTGTGAGCCCTGATATTTCTGAAATGGAAACTTTGAACTTTTCAAATGTTAATGTTTGAGCTTTTCATGTTACTAGCAACACATTGCAAAGTTTCACGAACTGTGTTTAAATGTGGGATTGAATCTGAAAATGCAGTGTTTGACAGTGAAAAAAAACATGATACTGTGTGTCAAAATAGATAAGACTTTGTAACTAACAGACCTTGTTCTATGAAATGTGTATTGTGATAATTTACTCTTTATGCGATTCTGTGCATATATGCCTGAAAAAAAAGAAGTGCTGTTGATCAAATTTTATGTTGCTGCCTTATGTTTTATAATTTATAATTACTTTTTTTCCCACATCAATCTACACTCCATACACCAATATACTGTATATATATATATATATATATATATATATATATCCCAGATCTTATCTTTTGTTTTGTGGCTGAAAACCTCCTTTTAAATCTTTGGAAAAACATCAAGATATACATTTTTTATAAATCTATATCGCCCGGCCATATTATACATCTTTATACATTTACATTTCTGCCTTCAAGTGGAAAAAAAATGCAGTCAACGAAGTTAAATTCTGACTTTATAAGTTGAATGGAATGCAGCATAGCAAGGCTAGTTAATGCATTAAAATAACATTAAAACATAGTCTAACTAATGTAATGTGCTTAATAATTTTGCACCAAAATGGGCTGTGGGACCCCCACAGAGCTGCGGCCACATTATCCTTCAGCCCCAGGCTAGCGCTACACACGCTCATAAAACTAAAACACTGCAGCGCTCACAGTGCCCACTATGATCCTTCACAATCTGCAAGGACACTTACCATTAAGATGCCGAAGGACCACCAGTCAGCACTTTGAGTGTGACCTCGTCTATTGACCACCTCTGGGGCCATGTACTCGATGGTCCCGCAGAAGGAGTACGCTCGTTTGTCATGGTCGATTGCCTCTTTGCTCAGGCCAAAATCTGAGAGCGCAGAGAAGATATTAAACCATCAACATGCGGTCGATGACACATATAAAGAGTTGGACCGTGTGGCGAACGCAAATTAAAAAACTTCTGCTCACCTGTGATCTTTATGTGGCCTTCTTCATCAAGGAGAATGCTGGGAAGGTGAAGCAACAGTGGATTACATTTTATTTCTAGATTACTGTATTACTATATTACTGCTACAGAATTAAAATGAGATAGAGAGGACATAATATGCATTCTTTGCAAAAGTACAAACCTCTCTCTATATAAATAACATTTAAAAAAGTAGAGTTTAGTTGCAGAACAACATCAAAACTTGCCATATTAACACAGTAATAAAGATTTATAATATTGATTTATATTCATTAAGATAAAGAAATTATTCTAATATAGAATTATGAATCTTTTTTATTTTGTATGCATTCTTTAAGTTACAGATATTTTGTAATATTTAATTAAGTATTTCATTCACAAAATTATCCATAAAAAGACATTAAAACTGATTATAAAAATATAATAAATTTTTACTGTTACTGTGAAACAGGATTTTGATCATCCCTACTGTTACACTTTCTCTTTTTTTTTTATATACTTATTTTTATTTTAAAACAAAAACGAATATCATTATTTGTACAGAGACAATGCTTTTTCCCCCCAATATCAATCTCTCTCCAACCAACCTAGAACAGATTGCCTTGGAAGAAATTAATCAGTTACAATCATTAAAAATAAATTAATACAGTAAAAAAGAACAGTAGTATTATATGTAAATAAAATAATAACATTAAATGAAATTGCATATAGTTAAACATCACAGTCAAAGATATCAGAGTTCAACAATTCCTTTAAACCTCTTGTAAGTGTGTAGGGGTGACAGGATTGAGGATATATTTTCTTAATGAATGTACTGGTGCAGTGTCCTTTGGATTGCCTCTGCCAATATGCCATTAATCACCTATGACAGGTCTCAGAACAGCATGCCCTTAAGAGATACACTGTAGAGCCCTCCAGCGAGAGCTGCTCTCAGGCCACCTCCATTTTCACCTTCTCAGAAGGAATAGCTCTTCTACTGTACGCAGTGTCCCTTTCATTATTTCCAGCAATGAATCTCCCACAAGAGCCAATTCAGAGTGCAGGTGAGCTTGGTTTGGGCCCATTGTTTGAGTAGATATGAGAGAGACAAGCCATGAAAGAGCATTACTGTGAGTGGGAGCACAAGAAGGATTATATTAAGGGGCTAGTAGTCGTTCATCACGGCTCAACAATAAGGATATTTTTCTGCTGGTCTAGGTCAGGAATGGTTCTTATGAATGAGATTGATTGTACTACTCATGTGGTTGCCTAATTTACTACAATAAATTCAACAATGGAAAAGCTTAATGATAAATTTATCCTTTTCTCTAAGAGGTCTCCTAAGCACTCTCAGTAGGCGTGTTTCCATTACCCTTCAAATTGCGCAAATTGAAATTGCGAATTGAAAATACGCCTAATGGAAACGCGTCAGTTTCGCAAAAACGCCCATATATCGCAAAAAAGTTTTTACGCTCGCATGAGGTGGCTTTTCAGGCAATGCGAAAAAGGAATAATTCGCAAAACTGCAATGGAAACGGCTTTTTCGCATTTACAGGTCACATGGCGTATGTAAAAAGTCATATGATCATTCTTCAATGTACTATAACCTCCATGAAACACATCATACGTGGCCACTCTCCAGTATAAGGGGCTTTCCCTACCATTAATGCTTAGACAATTTACACTGCACACGTCTGCGGTGCAGTGTGGCTCTGATACGGCCACTGAAGCTGATTGCGGCCACAATGCTTGTGTTTATTCCAGAATCCAGCCGTGCCACGCACGTTTCAGAAGCGGCTCTCTGTGCTGCTTCTGTAAAGATACACGGATATGCCTCTTTTTAATAAATATAGCCAAAATCCATCAAAATCCCACCAAAAACCGTTGCCATGACTTATCGCGAGAGGCAAAATGTTACATTTTAGTCGCATAACATTGGTTAATGGAAACGCCGTCATTTCGCAATACTTTATCTACATTTATAAAATATCGCCAAAGTTTTGCGCAAATCTGTAATGGAAACGCGCCTAGTCTGTTGATAAACCAAAGTATTTTTTTTTTTTTTTTTGGAACACAAAAATCTCAGGCCTACAGGTGTGCTAGTACAATACTGTAGTACTAATACTGTATACATTATACACTACCGTTCAATAGTTTGGGGTCAGTAAGACGTTTTCACGGTTTTAAAAGAAGTCTCTTCTGCTCACCATGGCTGCATTTATTTGATCAAAAGTGCATATAATATTATAATTTGATACATTGTACAATGTAATTTATTGCTGTGATAATAAATCTGAATTTTCCAGCCATTACTCCAATCCTCAGTGTCACATGATCCTTCAGAAATCATTTTAATATGCTGATTTCCTGCTATTATCAATGTTGAAAACAGTTGTGCTGCTTAACATTTTAGTGGAAACCATTTTTTTCAGGATTCTTTGATGAACAGAAAAATCTAAAGAACAGCAAAATAAAAAAAATAAAAACCTTACTTACTGAGCCCAATTTTTTTTCTTTTTTAATCAGTACTGGATGTTGCTAGTTTTATAATGCTGTAATATTTAAAACAACCCAATAAATTCATTTAAACATCTTACCTTTTTGGTTGTAAGCCAAGTATGAGGTTATCCTAAGAGATTTTATGGTGATTTTTTTTTTTTTTTTTAGAAATTTTAGAACTTTCATGTATCTTTTTTCTTCACAAAAACAATCAATATACATACATATAATTTGAAATAATGGCTGGAAACTGCCCATCATGTTACTCCAAGAAGGAAAACAATGACATAAACATTACTGATTTCCAATATTATCTAGTTGTAATATAGTTCGTAGTCACGGGATACTCCACCGGCCTCGCTCCGTTCCCACGGCTCTCGGCCCCGCCCCTCTCGTCACACTAGTCATTCTCGCAAAACGCATCTAGATTAGCCAGCTACATAATGTTAAATGTGAAATGCTTAAATTAGCAGAAATCAGAATAATATTCAATACATACCCCAAAATTCAAACAACTTGTAAAAGTGCATGTAGCATTATATGACCTCTTTAAAGAATGAAAACGCTTGTACTTGATCAATAAGCCTCAACATGGATAAAACCTCACACACCGATCCCGGACCCTCAGGTCATCCTTATTGCTGAGCCCTGTACACATTTCAGTCTAATGCAAGGTAAAAAGCTTTGACAAGCACTCTGAATCCAGCAGGACACAACGCAGATGCTGCTGCAACTGCACCAAAGAAACAGGAGCAGCACAGGACGCTCTCTGGGTGGTTGCATCACCCAGTTTGAACCTCTGAATTATGACTGTAATTACATGAGAGTTTCACAGAGTTCTTTTGACTCTAATCCAGATGTGGATTATACTGCTGCTTGAAAATGCAGGACTTAAGCTCTCCTGAACATTATGTCCAATCGAGGTCGTGCTGAGGTTATCAACACAAGGTCACTAACACATGATTGCTATTTACTGATAATACACGGGGTTTGGTCTTACTTCTCTGGTTTAAGATCACGGTAGATGATGCCCAGACTATGAAGATGATCCAAAGCCAAGGCCAGCTCAGCCAAATAGAACTTCACATCTTCCTCGGTAAACATTACCTAGAAAGAAAGAAAAAAAATCATAAATAACTAATTTTTCATTTAGTCAATGCTTTTACAGAAATCCAATTCCTTTAGGATTAGGGATTTGAACAAGGCCCTAACCAGAACATTTAATCATGTAACTCGTCCCACACAGTTTGTGCTATGGACATAAATCATACGGCTTATTGAGGGGAGGTGTATTATTACTTTTCTTAGAAATTAGGCTTATGGTTTTCACCTGGAGAAAAATGATTTTGAAGGCATTGAAGGAGGGATCCAAGACTCCACAAAACTGCTTAAACGTCTAGTTTTTCATTTAGATAATACTTTTACCTAAAACTTACATTAAAGGTTAATAGAAAACCAGCTCTCTTGGGTTTTACCAATGAGTGATTGAGTCAACCATTCAATTTGTCAATTGTTCTGCGTTGTAAATCAATGTCTATATAGCAAGACTCTGTACCTGCAGTTCATAACATCAAATGGGAAACATATTTACGGTAATGCACTTACAATAGAAGGCGGTTGTAAATAACCCAGCTTATACCTTTAATGCAGAACCTGGCCAGTGACAGATCTTCAATAAAACTGCAGTAACAGTGTGTTCTTATATTTAGAAGACCAAAAACTGCTCTTTTCACAGCTAATTTTAATAACTGGGAGATTTAATTAGACTGTGTAGAGAGCATCAGGGGACAGACAGTGCCATATTGAGGAGAGTAGATTGGCGTAACAAGTTCTAGTCAGGAGAGCAGCAGCTGTTGCAGCCAGATGAGAGATTGGCGCACCAGCGGTAATTAATTTACGTCTCACTTCCCAGGCACGGTTCTGCGCGGAGAATCATGATTAAATCAAGTGCACGAATCTCTCGGTAAAAGTGCTCCAGTGCCTTTTTTAATTCACACTTTACAGAGAGACTGATTAGTCACAAGAAGTAAAAGTGCAGGAGTTGCTCTTTATGTAAAATGCAACCGTAGTTGATCTATACAAGTTTTTGCCCAACGAAATTATCTCTAGATTGAGATGAGAATGTCAATCACCCCAAAACCATTTGCCTATATAGCACTAGCAAACAGCAAAACAGTTTATGACTGTAAGGTAAACTAAAGGCTATTCGCTTGAAAAAAATAAAATAAAATAAAATAAATAATAATAATAGTAAAGTACAACAGCGCCCACCCAGTATTTCAGCGGCCTCGTTTCGGAAGCATGTTTCCCATTCATTTTCCCACATGGATAAAAAAACAAAAAACAAACCTTAATTTAAGAGTTTTAAGCCAGGAACCAAACCAGCCAGCTACAAGGTTAATCATATACAAACTTCGATTTGATGCAAAATGTGCAAGACTGTACTCAACAACTTTAATGAGGAAAATAACTATCCCATGAAGTTATTACTGACCGCAAACCTTTGAATGGTAGTGTGTATTGTTACAAAATATTTCTATTTTAAATAAATTTAAATAAAATAACAAAAAAATAAACAAAAAACGTTCTCGATTTCCTGTGAGTGATTGAACTTAGATGGGATTTAGTCACTTTTTGCTGAGTGAAAATACCTTGCTGAACATTTACACTTTCTAAAATTACAGCAGTTATTTAATAATTGAAAAAGACCTAGGGGAGAGAAGTGATTTCAGCAGTTTATTCCTGATCCATATAATCGTGCTATCCTAAAGCAAAGTGGCCTATATCATGTACAATGACACAAAGAGGTCCGCAAGCAAATTAATAAAGACAACTATCTCTACGCAACCAGAATAAAGACAGAACAATGTGACTGATGAAGAGTGACGTGTACAATAAAGCCCAGACAGGTGGAGAAAACAGGTTATTTAGCTGAGCGAATGAGCATGAGTCACATTAATCAATGTCTGAAGGAAACGTCTGCTCCAGATAAGTGTGGGGCTGTGTTCAGCGGAGAGACCAGATACCGGGTTGAAGTCATTCTACGTGCTGGAGCTTTTCAATCACAGGCAACTACAAAATGCATCACAAGCTGAGTGCGAGAGTCACACAGGAATATGTGTAAACATGATCTAAACTGAATCTATAATGGTACATAACACAATTTACATATTTTGAAGAAAATGTGAGCTTGTGCTACATTGCTATGGTATTCTGGGTAGCTTTAGTGGTTTCTAGCACAGGGTGACAGGGTGTTTTATTGCCTACAGACCCAAGTCAAAAGAGCCCACCCACAAGTCTCTATGATATTCTGAGGAATTTATAGATTTTTTTTTTTTAATCCATTGTATCATCCATTATGTGAAAATAACAAGTGATTGCTTTCTAAAGCAATGGCACATGTCTCCTCGGTAAGCTGCATGATTTGAGGTATCATTCATGTCTGTAGCACAAGTTCTGCACCAAAGTTTAATACTTAGGCGTATGGGTTTGTTTAAACTGTAAGTATGTGTCAAGGTTCATGGGTCTGTGTGCTCATTCTGTGTGTCGCTGTTCAAGCCCTGGTCTCTCAGGTCTCGGAGCTTACCACCCAGCTACAACATTTCCAGACTGAGTCCGTCCAGTAACACACAGCACCTAATCCACCTGTGTCTTCTGTCCCGAATCAGGCCACTCGTTTCACCGAACCCCGCCTTCCGCCTCCAGCTTTTTACTCTGGTGAGTCCAAGCAATGCCGCTCTTTTCTTGCCAAGTGTTCTCTGTATATCTCTCTTCAACCATCGTCGTTTCCTACGGAGGAATCGAAGATAGCGTTTGTCATAACGGCGTCCTTTTTCACGAAATTGGACCTCCGCAATGCTTATCATTTGGTTCGCATAAGGGAAGGGGATGAATGGAAGACTGCTTTTATTACCCCCAGGGGGCACTTTGAATATCGCGTTCTTCCCTTTGGGCTTTCCAACGCCCCCGCAGTCTTCCAGGCACTCGTCAATGACATGTTGAGAGATATGCTAGATCAGTTCATTTGTCTACCTGGATGACATTCTGATATTTTCTCACTCTCTCCAGGAACATGTTCAGCACGTCAGGAGAGTGCTTCAGAGGCTGTTAGAGAATGGTCTTTATGTCAAGGCGGAGAAATGCGCTTTCCATGCACAGTCTGTTCCTTTTTTGGGTTACATCGTGTCGATCGAGGGGATGCGCATGGATCCGGACAAGATTCAGGCTGTGGTTGATTGGCCAACTCCAGATTCCCGCAAGGCCCTGCAGAGGTTTCTGGGCTTTGCCAATTTTTACCGGCGTTTTATTCGCAATTTCAGCCAGCTAGCTGCCCCTTTGACTGCCTTAACCTCCACCAAGACTCCATTCAGGTGGTTCAGTGCAGCAGAAACTGCGTTTGCCAAACTGAAGAGCTGCTTTGTTTCAGCTCCCATCCTTGTCGCCCCTGATCCCTCCCGACAGTTTGTAGTGGAGGTTGACGCGTCAGAGGTGGGGGCTGGTGCCATCCTATCCCAGCGTTCTTCCTCGGATGGTAAGATGCATCCTTGCGCATATTTTTCTCACCGTTTGTCTCCCGCTGAACGCAACTATGATATTGGTAATAGAGAGCTGCTGGCAGTCAAGCTTGCCTTGGAGGAATGGCGTCATTGGTTAGAAGGTTCGGGGGTTCCTTTTGTCGTCTGAATGGATCATAAGAATCTTGAGTATATCAAGTCCGCTAAAAGATTGAACTCTAGGCAGGCTCGGTGGGCTTTATTTTTCGGTCGTTTCAATTTTTCTATTTCTTATCGTCCGGGCTCCAAGAACATCAAGCCCGATGCATTATCCCGTATTTTTGACCATTCGGAGCGCCCGTCTTCTCTCGAGCCCATTGTGCCACAGAAGATTTTTGTTTCTGTAGTCACATGGGAGATTGAATCGAAGGTCCGCACGGCCTCTCAAGGGGTAATGCCTCCGCCCGGATGCCCACCGGGTCGTTTGTTTGTGCCAGAGACTTTATGGTCCGATGTCATTCGATGGAGTCATTGTTCCAAGGTGGCTTGTCATCCTGGTATGAGTCGTACTATGTTTCTTATTAAACAACGGTTCTGGTGGCCATCTATGGCTTGCGACATACGATGTTTTGTTTTGGCTTGCTCTGTCTGTGCCATTTCTAAGACTTCCAATCGACCCCCTGCTGGACTCCTTCAGCCGCTGTCAGTTCCCTCGAGACCCTGGTCCCACATTTCGCTAGATTTTGTCACAGGTCTCCCGCCCTCAAGTGGGAACATGGTGGTTTTGACCGTGGTGGACCGGTTCTCGAAGGCTGCTCATTTCATCCCTCTGCCTAAACTACCGTCTGCCAGAGAGACAGCTGTTGCTGTCATTGACCACGTTTTTCACATTCATGGCCTCCCGACGGACGTGGTCTCTGACAGGGGGCCTCAGTTTGTCTCTAAATTTTGGAGTGAGTTTTGTCATTTGTTGGGGGCGACGGTTAGTCTTTCTTCTGGGTATCATCCCCAGAGTAATGGTCAGACCGAGAGAGCCAACCAAGACCTAGAACGTATATTGCGATGTTTGGTCTCTCAGAAACCATCCTCTTGGAGTCAGCAGCTTTCATGGGTTGAGTACGCACATAACTCATTACCTGTATCTGCCACGGGCCTGTCTCCGTTTGAGTGTAGTTTAGGGTACCAGCCACCTATTTTTCCCAGTCTGGAATCCGAAGTCGCGGTTCCCTCTGCCCACGCATTTGTCCAGAGGTGTCGACGCACATGGAGCAGGACCAGACAGACCCTCCTCCAGGTGGGGGCGCGCACCAAGGCCAAAGTTGATCGCCACAAGCAGCTTTCATGGGTTGAGTACGCACATAACTCATTACCTGTATCTGCCACGGGCCTGTCTCCATTTGAGTGTAGTTTAGGGTACCAGCCACCTATTTTTTGCCTTAAACTGCCTCCGGCGTACAGGAGGATTCATTCCGTTTTTCATGTTTCCAAATTAAAGCCCGTTTTTCATGCTACCATTAATCCGCAAACCCCAGTTCCCCCACCGCCGCGACTCGTAGATGGAGAACCTGTTTATTCGGTGAATCGTATTCTGGACTCTAGGTGGAGGGGTACTTGGTGGACTGGGAGAGTTACGGTCCAGAGGAGAGGAGTTGGGTGCCTGCAAGAGACATATTGGATCACTCTCTTATAGATGATTACAATTGTCAGGTAAGTTCCTCTGGGAGCGCCAGGAGGCGCTCTTAGTGGAGAGGGTACTGTCACGGTTCATGGGTCTGTGTGCTCATTCTGTGTGTGTGTGTGTGTGTGTGTGTGTGTGTTATCCACTCCTTGTGCTCGTCAGTGTTGCCTAGTTACCGCGCACCTGACGAGCTGATCAGAGCGGTCACAGGTGTAGCTCATCTGCACTGCCTATATCTGGCTGACGTTTCTGTGGAGTGTTGTCAGATCGTTGTTGCTCATGTCTTGTCTGGTTCTCTGTCAGCCCTTCTCGTTCCTGAGTGTATTCCCGCCGGTTACCTGTTCCCTGGAGGGTTTGGACTGCTCGGAGTATTCTCTGCCTGAGCTGAGACTTTGCACTGCCGGGTTACCTGCACTTCTACTTGATGTAGTTGGAGTTGTCTAATAAAGACTTCCTTTTCACTCGCAATTGGATCTTGTGTTTCTGTTTCATGACAGTATGGGCAATAGTAATAATGGTGCTTGATTTAACTACCACTGATTTCCATAAATGGTACATCAAAATAAAGCGCATGCACTCAGCATGAGGCATGTGCTGAGCTTTTTAAAACAAAACAGCGGTCTTGTTGTCATAGATAATGCAAATATAGAATTCTTTCTTCCTTTCAACCATAAATGCTTCTGTGCTTTGAAACTTCAATGTACATGTTTGTAGCACAGGAACATATTTCGTAAGGAGTGGGAAAAAAACAGTACATTGCCTAGACCAGCATAGCAACACGAGATGATGTCACACCTTAAAAGCCCAATATTATGCTTTTAAATAAACCTTGCCATCTCTCATCCGATTACCACGGCAACGAAGTTATTCTTGGTGGTTTGCTGCATGTACTTTTTATAGATTTAAACCACTCACTTATCAGTTGGAGAGCTCTTGAACATCAGGGGCTGTAATTATGTTAAGTGTGAAACTTAAGAAGCACTATGCAATTTTATTTTTCGAAATAATGTCAGAAAGGTTATTCTTACCATGGTGTACATTTTCAAATATAAACTTACAATTTTTACACACACACACACACACACACACACACATATATATATATATATATATATATATTCATCACAATATTAAAATAAAGTGATAAAGTGAACACAGAGGTGAATTTTTAACTCCTGGTGATTTGTCCCCATCATTAAAAGTATGTAACAAAAATATATATTTCAAGAAAAAACACCAAGTCAGTTAAACTTCAAGGATGTCAATCTGTCCAGTTAAGAAACGTGATTATGTATCATTTTCACCTGCTTTGGTGAAAATGAAAGCAACAACAGGTATACTGAAGAGGCAACAGCAAGATAATTCCCAAAAAGGGAATGGTTTTGCAGGTGGTGGCCACAGACAATTGCTCTCTCCTTATCCTTCCTGACTTTGTCTCTAGTTTTGTGTTTTGTTAGGGTCCTCCTCACTACTTGAGGCAACCCGCAACCCAATCAGGTAGTCCAGATCCTCCAGGATGGCACATTGTGCCATCGCAAAGAGGTTTAATGTGTCTCCCAGTACAGTCACAAGAGCATGGAGGAGATTCCTGAAGATGGAACGTTACACAAGGAAAGCTGGACAGGGTCGTAGAAGGGCAACAACCCAGAAGCAGGACTGTATCTGGTCCTTTGTTTAAAGAGGAACAGGGGGAGCACCGTGAGAGCCCAATAAAATTACCTCAAGCAGGCTACTGGTGTGCATGTTTCTGACCAAACTGTCAGAAACAGACTCACTGAGGGCCCTATGTCCTTTAGTGGGACCTGTGCTCACAGCCCAGCACCATGTAGCTCGACTGGCATTTGCCAGAGAACACCAGAATTAGCAGGGCTGCCATTGGCACCCCATTCTCTTCATGGATGAGAGCAGATTCACACTGAGCACGTGACAGACATGAAAGAGTCTGGAGATGCTGTGGAGAACGTTAAGCTGCCTGTAACATCATCCAGCATGACCGATTTGGCAGTGGGTCAGTGATGGTCTGGGGAGGAATACCCTTGGTGGGTCGCACAGACCTCCATTTGATAGCCAACGGTACACTTACTGCTGTTAGGTGAAAGCATGAAATCCTCAGATGAAACATGAATTCCTCAGAGCCATTGTCAGACCTTATGCTGACGCAGTGAGCCCTGGGATCCTCCTAGTGCATGCCAAAGCCCGGTTTCATGTGACCAGACTGTGCAGGTAGTTTCTGGATGATTTAGGCATTGAAATGTAACGCAGGGAATTCTGGGAATGTCAATTTACGGTTATTCACTGTAAATTATACGGTATTTTTCACTTCCAAAAACGGTATACTACCGTAAAATTTATGTCCAATACATGTAATGTCCAATACAGTTTTTCACCGTATATAGTAGGGGAATTTACCGTTAACCATTTAACAGGTTTTTACTGTAGCATTTTTACAGTCTTTTACAGTTAAATCCACGGTCATTTTTTACAGTGTACCATTGACTGGCCCTCGAGTTTTCCCGACCTGAGTCCATTTGACAACCTCTGGGACATTATGTATCGGAGCATCTGAAGCTGCCAAGTAGCACCACAGACTGTCCAGGAGCTCACTGATGCCCTGATCTTGGTCTGGGAGGAGATCCCCATCTCAACAGGAGCACACTTTATTGGGAGTACAAACAGGCACTTTGGGACCATAAACACTACTGAATTACATTATGAGTTGTTTTGATGAAATTCATGCAAGTTTGATCAAAGTGTAATTTCAAAGTGCAATTTTTTACTTTGATTTTCAGTGTGACAGTAAATCCAGCCCTCGGTGGGTTGGGGATTTTGGTTTCCACTTTTTTCCCCTTTATTTATACAATACAGATTGTGTCAAAGAAGCTTTACAGTGTTAAACAGGAAAAACGTGTGCTGATAATGCAAGAGTACAACAGAAAACAGTCAGTTTATCAGTTAAAGTCAGTTCATTGTTGATTCAGTGATTACCGTCCAGCTCAGCTCAGGTCTCTTCCAATAACATTACACAGTGTATATAAGTAAACATTTTGTTCACCAAGATCCAAGAGCAGTGTATGTACAGTATGTGTGTGTGTGTATATATACAGTGGTGGATAAAGTACTAAATAAAATAGTACTAAATAAAAAATAAAAAACATTTTGTATGATCCCTTTTATTTTGGTCAAATAATTAACATTTTGCAGATACTGCAAAGTGTATGTAAAATTTTGACCACAACTGTATACATGGGTAGTGGATAATAGGAAAGATCCAGAAGCCGATATTTACCAGAAGTGCTCTAGTGTTGAAACTCATTACTTATTTGGGAAGAGAACACACACACACACACACACACACACACGTATGTATGTATTAATAACAGAATTGTCAGCTACAGTAAAGAAGGACCTTGGTTTCAGTTGTTGAGAATATCTTCAGCACTCCGGGGATCTATTACAAACTCTATACGACCGTCAGACACAAACTGTGCTAATCAATGTAAAACTAATTATTTCCCCTTAATCCTCACTAGCATCTACACAGTATTGAATTTCCCAACAATGGCACTGATAATTTTCCACCGATGGCCTCTGCTGCTATAATGTGTGATTCACAGCTCATAAAGTATAGGTCTCAGCAAGCCTTGCCCGCTATAGATCAATAATCAGATTTGTTCCCCATGTGCGAAGAGAACAGATCCTTGAGGAAAGCTTTACTGAATTTGGGAGATTAGAAAGTGATGCGATCAAGAAAATCATACACTCCATTAAGAAGAATTAAAGTATAGCAAGTGCTAAGAGGGACCAATTACACCATCTATCAGAGAATATGGTGTAATAAATAGAGAATCTATCAGTTCAGTCTGCACATGTGGATATACCTCTGTTGCAGGTGGATGTTTTGGTAATTACTAAACGACTGAATGCTTACAGCCTTTCACTAAGCAACTGCTACTCAGCTCAATTGTATAATGAGTGGACACAAATACATTGGTATTATTACTATGTACTCGTTTACTCACTGTCATGTTATCCCAAACCCATATGACTTTTTTCTCCCCTAGAGCACAAACTGCGAAATTTAGAAGAATCTTCACTGCGATCTTTTACATTCAATAAACCTAAATGAGAATGCTGTCAATCTCCAAAAAGTGACAAAAGCACAATAAAACTACCATAAAAGAAGTCAATTCGACTTATTCTCACATTGTCAAATTTAGCATGTTGCATTTGGTTAAGAGGAACGTGCGAACATTATTACTTTTAGAGCTTGACAGCATCTCTTTCCATTCCCTTTCAGTGGAAAAGTGCAGCAACAACATTCTTAAAATATCAGCTTTTGTGTTACAGCTGAGAAAATGGGTAACATTTTAGTATAGGGTCCAATTCTCACTATTAACTAGTTGCTTATTAGCATGCCGATTATTAACATATTGGCTGTTTATTAGTACTTATAAAGCACATATTCTGCATGACCATATTCTACATCCCTAATCCTACCCAATACCTAACAACTACCATACTAACTATTAATAAGCAGCAGATTAGGAGTTTATTGAGGCAAAAGTCGTGGTTAATGGTTTGTTAATAGTGAGAATTGGACCTTAAAATAAAGTGTGACCAGAAAATGATATATTAGGGTTTTAGAGCAACATAAGTTATAAGAAGACATAAGCATTTACAACCGAACAAGCATGTCATGTTTGCCTGTTTTGTAACAGCAGAATTATTTAGTTGACTTGAGCTGTTTCACAAAAAACTGACCTCTTTGGATAGGCGTGTGAAAAGATCTCCCCCTCTGAGAAAGTCCAATATTAGGTACAGCTTTCCTTCTGTCTGAAAGGCTGAGGGGAAAAGCAACAAATGTGACATTTAAGCAGTATTTTTTCAGAATCACAAGGCAAAAAAACCTGTAAAAACCTGAAATTGTAGTTTGCGAAGTTACGAGCCACCCATAATTTAAATTTTACATTCAAGCTAGTGGTCGACCGATATATCGGCCTTGGCGATATATCGGTCGACCACTAGCTTGAATGTAACATTTAAATTATGGGCATTTTTCAAATATCGGCATCGGCTGATAAGTTTTTCTGTTGGTTACAGTGTTTACTTCCTTTTTAATTATATTTTGATTAAATGGGTCATATGATGCGATTAAAATTTTTCCTTTCTCTTTGGAGTGTTACACGCTCTTGGTGCATAACGAAGATCTGTAAAATTGCAATTTTTTGAACTTTAAACCGCATAAACACATTTCATTACACCAAATACACCAAATAATGTTCTTTTTAGCAGCATCATATGACCCCTTTAAATATTTGTTTATTTGTGAAAAATACTTTGTCATTTAAAGTATAAGCATGTTTATTTTACACATTAATTTTTTTAATCCATTTTCAAATTATTTCAAATTTCTTAAATATTAAATAAAATAAATAAAATTATATCGGCTTTATCGGCCATCGGCCACCCTGCTTTCCATGATATCAGCATCGGCTGCAAAAAAAAACAATATCGGCCGACCACTAATTCAAGCTACTGGCTATCTTTCTTTAAAATGAATAATTATCAGATAATATAAATTACTTTTACATAATCAAACTTGAACAGAAAAGATTACATAAAAGCTCATTACTGTAAAGGCTACAGCGCTATGAAAACAGCTGAACTACTGTCATACAACTGTAGAATGTAGTTTAGTTAGTAGTATTTCTACATGTAGTTAGTCACTCCACAAACACGTCTGTTTGTCACTTCAGTAGAGCACAGGGGGTTCAGAAACTGATGTTCTTGTCTAAATGCTCTTGTTCTGTTGTTTACAGTCTCCCCTTGAGAAAACAACTCACCATAGTGGAGTTTGACAATGAAGGGATGATTCACTTCTGCGAGAATGTCTCGCTCCATTTTCGATCTCACTCTGTCCCGCACTTAAAATACAAAGAGACAAAATGTAGAGACTCATTATTTATGATTGCAAATAAAATTATGATTAAATAATTAAAAATAACTAATTCACTGTCATTAATTTCCTTGACAAAAGCACACAAGTGTACAATGAATTGCAAAATGCAGATCATGAGACTCACATCCATCTGTATAGTGATTTATGTTGATATTGATATAAATTTTTAAAGAGCCTAAAAAAAGAATCTAAATGTGTTTCCTTGATATAAATTTATATAAGGGTACATTCATATGACAACAATGCGTGTTTTTTTTTTTTTGCATACATTGTCAAAATAATCACACAGATCAATGAAAACTACTAAAATTCTGTATTAAGCATGCCAGGCCAGTAGCAATGTAACTTTATAAAATGAACACTATTCAAACATGTAATGAACTACTTGCACAACTACTTCCGCGTTCTACCAGAGTTTCCGGTCAGTGTTTAGCGCACCTACATACAGACTATTTGTCATGAGAAAGCAGATTATTACTACGTTTTAGGGCTAATTAAACAATTAGTCATATTCTCTGCATTAACATGAATTATCTTCAACCTGCTTAAATGTTCTTATGAATATATTTCTCTTCCAAATAAAAATTCTGAATAATAAATAAATATATTTCCCCACTAACATGCCGAGGTCCAGCGCTTGTCTTCATATTTTTATCTTACTGATCATATTTCATACCAGCTGAATTTACAGTTTTAAATGAATTTGACTGATAAACACCCTTACGAAAAATAAGCATGGTTTTACTATAGTAAAAGTGTAATGACCACGTTTTTTTTTTGCAGTTTACCATTTGTATAATCAAATTTAAACGCCATGGTTAAACTATGGTTAGTGTAGCAAAACCCGGGTTTATTTGTGGTTTATTATGGTTTAACTACAACTGCAATTTTTTGGTTTTATTTGTAGTATAACCATGGCTAATTTTCGTAAGAGCATTATTGCTTGTGTGCGTTGGTGCTCTTATTCCAATGTTTAAAATGATTGAATGAATGTGCGGTAACTGCCTTATAGAAATTGAACAATGTTAAACATTGAATTAATTTTTAACAGTAACGAGTTGACAGTGCGGCTGCTTTGAATATTCATATTTTGGCATTGCATTCAGTGAAATGATTGTGAATGAAAAATGACACAGAATAGTGACAATATTTAAATATACATATTTTTAAACATTTAATACAGAAAAATAAAGGTTCTGATCTTATTCATTAGATCTCACATACACTGCAGCGTCACGATTACTAGTTTAGAGCACTGACACCCTGTGGTGAAACAATCATGTATGTTTACCAGCCATTGCTTTATCAGATCAGCTTATGTTGGATTAAAACTTCCGTTCCATTGAGTTTGGAAAATTCTGCACACAGTAATCATCAGAATATCTCTCCTCCTGTCTCTGAAAATGTCCGGATTTTGAAACCATCAAACTCTAATTTTAATAGGCATTTAAGTCAACTAGATGATTACGGCACATTGAAAATATACATAACCGGAAATAACTGAGTTGTATTATTTCAAAACAGAAGTGCGTCACGAGGCTCAGTGCAAGTAGTCCATATGCATGCATGACATCGCATCACAATTTTGCGTTTTTGTAGTTATATGGCCTAACTATATCATTTTCAAAAACTTTTCAAGTTTGCATTTTCAGGCCCTCAAAACGTGTTGTTGTGTAAATTAATACAGGCATAAATTATATATAGGCTGAATATATAAACAGGGCGATAGCACACTACACATCTAACATAACTTCAAAAACAAACACAGATCTGAGGAAACTGAGGGTTTAAATACACAAGGTTGATCATCAACAGAACAGGAAACAGGTGCACAACTAATTAGAAACTATAACTACAAACTCAGACAAAGACTGTGACAGAAAACCATGACTAGAGACAAAACAGAACAAGACAATGACTGTGACACTTATATTGATTTCTATCAAGCGATGACAATTGGGTTAACAGGTTTATAAGACTATAAATAACCAGAATATAATAAAATTCTGTGTGCATGTCAAAGTGGTCACTACTTATTGTTTTAAATGTTTGTGGAAAAACGAATAATAATTTGTCTCCCTGTAAGTTTACACATTTCATAGCTGCCTGTAATCTTTTAGCTCCCACTTACTTAGTTTGGATATGCAGATGTCTAAATGAGTGTTACATTACAGTGATGACATGAAAACATAAAAAAATCTTATTAAGAAAAGATCAGATATGGATAGACATAAGGACAGTAATTAGATATGCACCATGTGAACGAAAAATATCAGATCTCATGTTTTTTCGCTGTTTACACGCATGCAAGATGATCTGATCTGTGCCCGATATGATTTATATTATTTTATGTTATTAGTTTAAAAAGTCAGTGTTTAGATGAATGACCTACTCTTAGTTGATTCTGTACATTTTAACATCCAAAAATGTACAGACTTCACCTTTAAGCCTGCAGGACTACAAATCTTTGACAAGTCTGGCATCAAAAGCAGCATGTAAGATGCTTCATTCACACGAGTGCTTTACATTGAATGGTCTGTCTTATGTAACAGCTGCAGCATTGCTGTGGTCTGACAGTGAGGTGCCACAGTCACCAACACTGTTATTTTCATTCACACGTACATGAAGAACTTGCACAACATCATCCGCCGAGAGCAAAGACTTTGGGATGTAGCCATGGTTACATTGAGTGAATAAGTTACGTGGGTTGTGAACAGGTTGTGAAATAAACTACCACTCCAAACTGAGCACTATGAATCACTATCATAACTGCTGTTTTGTTTAAATTTGTGTTTTTGTGTGTAAAAACAAATGCTTAAGACTTCGGGTTTATCTGCTTTGTTTGTTTATTAGATTAATTCATTGTCTTTGTTCCAGGGAAGCTGCTACGGATCTAAAGTGTGCAATAATGAAAAACTGTCACTCAGGAAAATTGCCTGGGTGTCTGAGTGGGACCAACACGTTAAACAAGTTGATGATTCAGATACTCCTTAAAGGGGTCATATGATGCGATTTCATTTTTTCCTTTCTCTTTAGAGTGTTACAAGCTCTTGGTGCATAAAGAAGATCTGTAAAGTTGCAAAGACTAAAGTCTCAAATCCAAAGAGATATTCTTTATAAAAGTTAAGAGTTAGCCACACCTACCTAAAACGGCTCGTTCGAACACGCCCCCACATATCTACCTCACTATGTGGGAAGATTTGCATAACGCCGCCCAAATGTTCACGCATTGACGCTGTGTGTCCTGAAGACGCTGTGTGCTTCGTTGTGAAAGCGAAACTACTTTGTTTGGTCTTCCAAAAGAGGACGATATCCGCTTCGTCATGCCTAATAATGTTCTTTTTAGCAGCATCATATGACCCCTTTAAAAATCAGCTAGTGAGCACTTCAGGCCTCCTAGCAGCTCAGTTATGACTCACGGGTTAGATGTCATGTTGTGGTGAAATAATAACTGCAGGTTTTACATCAGTGCATACTAGGGAAAGATTGACAAATGCAAAGCACACAAATTGTAGAGTAGAATCATAATTCAGATCTCATATTTTAAGGGCTTAAGGGTCAGTTTTACCTTTTAGTGTTGCTTTCTTCAAGACCTTCATGGCATAGAGTTGTCCTGTATCTGAACCTCTGATTTTTCTCACCAAGAACACCTGTAAAATGAAACGTAAGTTCAAAATCCCATAATATTCACACATTTTAGGGCACGTGTCAAACTGTAGCTCCGACCAGCTCCAAACACCTGCCAGGAAGTTTCTAGTAATCCTCTTTTAATCTAGTAGACCCTGATTAGCTGGTTTAGGTGTGTTTAATTAGGTTTGGAGCTAAGCTCTGCAGGACAGTGGCCCTCCAAGAACTGAATTTGACACCCCTATATTAGGGCCTGTTTACACCTGGTCACGTCATGTATTATTTTCTGATTGGATAGCTATCTGATCGTGAAAAGATTGGGTATAAATGCCCTCCGAAATGCTTTTGAGATCCAATCACTTAAACCACTTCAGGAGTTGATCTGAGACGCATTCCAGATGAAACTGGACAAGTTTAAATGCATCCGCTTGTTGAAACCACATATGTAAATTTTTGCTCCTCCCAAAATGTAAAAAAATAAAAATAAATGTGTGAACGTGTGCTATAGGCTGTATGACATTATAGCCATTTATGACATGGCTAATGCAACACACACCGACGCAGATGAGTAGCTGAGTATCTCTTCAGCGAACCAATGCGCAAACTGCCGCAAATTAAACTGAAAGTAAGTTGCAGATGCTAAACACACTCTCGTCTTCGTTAAAAGCAGTAAGACTAAATTATTTTACCAGTGCTGATGTCGCTCTCTCCCTGTTGCGGTCTTTGATCTTGAGCTTAGCTGATGATAAATAAAATGCAGCTCATATTTTTTGCTTTCATTGTGAACTCAGTTAAATTTGCATATAGCGCAGGAATTGATTCGTTTTGCGAAAACGCATTTATGTAAATGGAACCGTTTTAACAAAACAAAGGGCCTGTTTACATCTGGACACTTCATGTGTTTTTACTGAATGGATAGTCATCTGATTTATTGGTTCCATTTACACTTGGCCACATAAATGAGAGAGTGGCATCAGCACTCGTCAGATAACTTAATATCATTTGTGGCAGTTTGCTGAAGAGATACTCAGCTGCTCATCTGCAGCAAAGCCATCTGGCTATAACATGTCATATAGCCTATAACACGCTCTCACACATAAGGGTCATAAGGGTCAATTTTTCAAAATTGAGATTTATATATCATATGAAAGCTGAATAAATAAGCTTTCCATTGATGTGTGGTTTGATGTGGGCTATTGCTACAAATATACCCCAGCGACTTAAGACTGGTTTTGTGCTCCAGGGTCACATATGTGGTTTCAACAACCGAATGCATTTACATTTGTCCAGTTTTGTCTGGAATGCGTCTCAGATCAACTCTTGAACTGGTTTAAGTGACTGGATTTAAATCTCAAAAGCATTTCGGAGGGTATTTACACCTGATCTTTTCACGATCAGAAACAGTAGCTATCAGATCAGAGAAAATGCATTAAGTGACCAGCTGTAAACAGGCCCTTAGTCAGTGTCCAGGGGCTCTCAAGCTCCAAAAAGTTGGAAAAACACCATAAAAGAAGTCAACATGTCCATAAGACAGTATATCAAGTCGTCTTAAGCCATATGACAGCTTTGTGTGAATATAGACAGAAATTCCTTTTCTGCTCTGAGCTACCTATGTAGTCAGCATTTAAAGGCATTAAGACTAAAATTTCAATGTCTTCTTCACACAAAGCTATCACATGGCTTCTGAAAACTTGGGTTGTATGATACTGATACTTTTTTGTAATTTTTGCAATTTTGAACATGCCTGACATCTTTTGTGTTTCAAAGGAAAAAGGCAGGAGTTAAAGTGGAGTAATTAAACCACCTACACAAGCAGCTGAGGCAACATCCTAACTGACATGGAACATGAGTGATTAAATTGAATTAGATTAGAAATCTTTATTAGATTAGAAATCTTTATTGTCCACACATGTGGAAATTCATCTTCGGCCCCACAAAAACATATAGGACTACCACAAATACACTTAACTTAACTTATTCTAAATAAGAAGTAACTCATACAAATAGCACAGAAGACTCAATTCACAGTCGATTTCAGTGGAATTTGGCATGTTAGCATGTTGCTAAGCTAACAATGCAGTACTCTATTAAACCAAATACACAGCACACATAAGCACAGTGTAAAAGACTAACACTTTTTTGAAAGTGTTGAAATGTTCAAAATTGAGTGAATTCTAATTATATTTATAATCAGCAGTTCTCTTGTTTTGTCTTTTTTATTAAGATAATTGCATTGCATTCTGGGATTGATTTCTCTGCTAAAAATAAATGTGATGCTAGCTTAAAATTTCTCCAAAGGTATCGCTGATTATGCAGCTACCTTTACTAAACGGCCTTTGTGTTGATCTTACTAGGTTGAAAACTTGCTTGGTTTTATTTTTTTCGTTTTGAGACACAGGATACTCAGTTAAAATTATGTAATTTAAATCCTGCAACAACTGATCCTGACTTTCTAAAGTTCAACTGAAGGGTTTATAAGGACACCAAAAATGGTTTTACATCCATTAACTCCACATGCATTAACAAAATTACATCCAAACAGATGGCAAATCTAATTTTAGCTATCGTTGACTCTGCATTACAGTAGCACACAGAGAGTAAGTCAAATGCAGCATTTTCAAAGCTCACCTTTCCGTAGGAGCCCTGACCCAACACCTTGAGCAGCTCGAACTGTGACGGGTCTGCTTTCTCAAAGCCCTCTTTCACATGATGGCTGATATCAAACTCCTTTAAGATGCTGTCATCCTGCAAAGACAACAGATGGCACGGCTCAGAGGGAAATAAACAAATGCTTCTGCCATAAAGCTGTGTGTTTAAGCATATTTGGCGATACGATGCCATCTGGCATTATGAATAACAGTAGTAAACAGGTCAAGGAAAAGGGTTCAGATGGTGTGATCATGAGTGTATGTATTCCATTGCCATTTTCATAGGTGTTTTTTTTACAAAGCGCATGACAAACACAAAAGTGTGCAATATACAAATAACAATAAGAATCACAGGTACTTTAAAATTACTTAGAGCAAAAAGCAAGTCCGTATGGAACCTGCAGAAAGCTCCACAGATTTCAGCAGAATTAGAAAACCTGTAATTTACAAAGATCTACACGCCCCTTGGTACTTGACTCATCATTTATCAGATATTTTGGCTAATTTGATTAGATTAGATTAACTCTACACAAAATGTAGAGCACAGTGACATACACTGGTAAAGATGCAGACTTTAAGTAAACAGACTGCAGTTGCAAGTTGTTCGTCACTCTGATAGTCTTAGATTTGATGACATGATATCACTTTCCCGAAGGGCAGAACAGTTTATGGTCAGGGAAATTAGGATCTTGAATACTGGATTGGGCTTTTCTTTTAGCTGCGGATGATGTGGATCAGTTAATGGCAGATCTTATCCTATGATCCTAGGCATTTGACACTTTTGAGAAAACATAGCAATTTTTAAAGTTCTCCGTTTTCTAAATGTATTTTATAGATTTTATTGTGAATGATCCAATGTATTTGTAAACTATAAATCATGCATGGCATCTTTATACTACGTCAGTTAGAAATAGCTCCTTAAAATAAGAACTGCAGGTTACCACTTTTACAGAGTACAAGCAGTGTTAAATATCATGTTTATGTTCAGATTTATTTTTAGTATAAAAGTAATTAGCAGGTTGTGATTTATCCAGTGTGATTTACAGTATAATTATAGTGGCAGGCTACCTGGCACAATCTGAGGTTAGGCACACACACACACAGCACGCACGCACACACACACACACACAAACGCACGCACGCACACACACACACACACACACGCACACACACACGCACGCACGCACACACACACACACATACAAACACACGTACTGTTCACAATCTAAATGATCATTAAACTGTATTTTATTTAAATAAATGTTGAGGAGCTCATGCTGTAGATTAAACTGTCTCAGTCGTGTAGTATCAGTAAGAACACTTACAGTACATTTGCTCCAAGTTAAATTAATAAAAATGTTTGTAATTTTAACAGTAAAAACTGCAAAAACGCCATGGTGAAATTCCTTTAGTCTGTACGGTGAAAAACTGTAAGGAACATTTCATGTCATTTTACAGTAAAACACTGTTAATCTAGTTTTTGGAAGTGAAAAAATAAAAGAACAAGTCACATTTGATGTTTCTTTTTACTGAAATAGCTTTTTTTCCCCTAAAATTTTCCATATTATTTATATACATTAGGGTTTTGTTACATCTTGTTTAATGAATGTTTATTGCATTATTTTAGTGTCATGAGTGTTACCATGATGGCGTTTTTTATGTATGACATTGTTGCACCATTTATATATTATTTACCTCAGCTTGTGTTTTTTTCTGTTTTTAAAGTGGTTGTCAAAAAAAAAAAGTAATTTGGTGGTATATTAATATTATTTCAGTTTATGAAATATATGTTTTTACTGTAAATTTAAGATCAATCTGTAAAATTTTAAATGTTGCTACTATTTTTTTTTCTGGTAAAGTTCTGGCAACCACAGTTGCTGTTTTCACGTAAATTAAATATCTATTAAATTTTCACCACTTCATGGGCACATTTTATTGAAAATCACAGAAATCTCCAAATTATTTCTATGTTCTGTAGCGCTTGTCTGAGCGAGTAACAGTAACCAAGGAGCTTAGCGAAGGGTCAGTTGTGTTCCAAATGCAGTCATCTCCCAATAACAGCCTACTCTCTCTCTCTCGGGCTCTGCCAGGTGAGGGTGGGTGCCTGCAGAGGGGACAGTATGGACTGTCTCACTGCAGAAATGTTCCTGTGAGCTCAAACGCTGAGCACAGCTGAATGATGCACCGTGCTGGGACTCACACAGCTCAGAGACACAGCTTAAACCGGCTTATGGCACGCCATGCAAACGAATAAATAAATGTGCAGCTGCATTACATAACCAAAGTCCAGGCCGGGCCTCTCCTGTGACGTGATGATGAGTAAACTGAGGATATACGATCTTCAGCCTCAGCACTGGGGCCTGATTAACTATTCTGACAGCTCCTGTTGAGCTACGCACATAAAAGCCAAGCCAAGCAAAAGAGCTCATTGTGATCATCAGCAGAATATGATGATGAATTATAAACTCTTGTTTGGTGATAATTCACCTTTAGATCATGGGGATGGTAATGACAGAGGAGAGAATGGGGATAGTTGTCACATGGGGAAGTTTACATTCAAGATTTTAGAGTTGTGAATTTTAAATTCTGTTCTACAAACCAAAACTCCAATATCATATCTTTAAATAGCTCTTTTGAACACAATAAAACCACACTGACCAACATTCAGACAAGATAGGGCTGGGTATCGTTAAAAATTTTCCGATATCGATATCGATACCTTGACTTCGATACCGGTTCCTGAACGATACTTTTTCCGATACCAATTTTATGAAATCAATTTTAACAAGATTCTAGTCGAACACACCGGCTAGTGCTGCAGGCTTATTGGCTCACTGATGCTGATGAGATTAACCCCCTAGGTATCGAAATGTGGTACCGAACAACAGACGTTTTTCGATACTCGATGGTATCGAGGCAATTCGGTCAGTGCCTAAAAAGTATCGAACTCGATACCCAGCCCTAGACTCAAGAGTAATTTGTATATAAACGTGTCATCTGTATATGAAAAAAATTGAGAAATAAACTCATCTTGAGAAATATTTACAGTATATGACAACTAGTCCTGGCCTCGCCTTTATATATTCAAATAACTCTTATATGCTGAATTCAGTTTAAGTGCAAGGAAATGATCTACAAAGATTGATTTAGAATTTGTCACTTCCAAAGGAAAAAAAAAACAACCCTCCACTTGTCAACAGTCCAACCAGGCTTTTCAATTTAGTTTTCAATTTAGGATTCAGCCTGAGTGCTTCCATTTTCAGACTCATCTCACAAAATAATTTCCTTTTGATTGCGTGAAAGCTGTGCTACTGCAATCATAAGCAAACAGATACTAGATTTATTTCATTTTGCTCACCTAACTGAGGTTTAATACAAGCCCATTGTGAATTGTGTGACATTATAAGCACACTCCTCACATGAAATATGTTTCAAATGAAAGACAGCATAATTATGCAGCCTTCTAAGATAACTGCTTTTGGCCAAATTCTATGGAACATCACATTCATTGAATGAGAGTGTGTTTAAACCAGAGTGTTTAATTTTGTTATATATGTACTTCATACAATACCAAAAAGTATTGATAAGATTAAAATATTGATAAGTATTAATAGTTCAATGATAACTGATGATGGTTTTACACACTACTTATTTGTCATCTCTGTTAGCACATGCTTTTTTAAATATTTTTTTTCTTTATTTAACAGAAAAAGTTACATGAAACTGGATGTAAATCCAGTTAACTTAATATCTAATGTTTATATTATACAGTTTTTTTTCATCAAAAAATGAAATGCTTAAGCTTAGCAACATGCTAATGCCAAACTCTACTGAAATTACAGTAAGTATCCCATATGCTTTGTGTGTATAAAATACAGAATTGCTACATACATCTTTAAAAATTAGTCACAGGTTCCATTTCATTTTCAAGATTCTGCTTTAAAAGACACAACTTCTGATGCTATTTTCAGCTGAAACGCACATCCTTTACATGTAAATATGACTCATTTTGGAAAGACTTGAAAATGAAAAATAATATGAATAAATCACAATACTCAGTGGGACCGGCTCTAGATAGACAGGGTAAACACTGTAGATCAGAACCCTGTCTAAACACATCACTGGTTATCAACAGCATGATGAAAGCCAGCTGGTGTGACCTGCATTTCAGATCTGATTAGGCCGGGCATACACTGTGCAATTTCTGTGCGATTTCAGCAAGGTACCAACTCACACTGTACAAGTAGATTGCATGCGATGTAAAGCCAAAGCTCATGATTTATGTGCTCACGATACACGTGTAAAATACTCCGGTTGCGTACACGATAACTCCGTGTATATAGATGATAGCCAGAGATATCTTAAAAAAAAAGCATCAGCTATCGGTGATATCGAGAGGATTTGGCATTTCCAATTAATGTATTAAATCATTATTATTATTGCTTGGAAGACATGAGCATATGGTTTATCCATTCTGCAACGCGAACTGGAGGTAAGCAGCAGTTTGCTAAATTGCAGCTAGTTTTAGCGACGGAACTTACAAAGATTGCCCTCTTTTCATTTTCTTTCTTGCTGCATTAAAGATTAAATGGTTTAATTTCTGTTTCCGTGCAGGTTCGTAGATCTGCTTCAACTGTGCGATACCCTCACGAGAGGCTACCATAATTTCTGACATGTCAGAAATTCATCCGACCGTCCGATTGCCGGTTGGGAGATGTTAATCACTTCACGACAAACGACGCACGACAATGCAGAAATTCGCCCTGACTCAAAAAAGAGTCACACGAGTCAGAATTCGGCTCAAAATTGGATGAAAATCACACAGTGTATGCCCGGCTTTAGGGCTACACAATATTATCAGAACGTTATTGGAATCGGAATTGAAAAACTGATGCCGATATGCCTTGCCGATAAGATGAATAGCTCACATTGTGCTCAGGGTGTGCTAGCGATAAGATCACATCAGTAGTGTGGTCATTCTTGAAGTGAACATTTGCCTCAATGATTCACTGTTTTGGATCGATGCATTTAATCTGAGAATGCAGGTACAGAACGACGTGTCCGGTGCGATAGAGTCAACAGTAACTAGCGCATGCA